AGCAGTAGATCTAGAAGCAGACAGCCAGTGCCTCAGCTTACCTGGTATCTTGGTAACAAAATACCCAATACAAGTTAAAGCAGGAAAGGTTCATTTCAGTTCACAGGTAGAGATTTCAACCCATAGTCAGCTGGCTCCAAGGCCAGGGGGCAAAAGGGCCCCACAGAGTAGAAACAGTCCATGGTGAGCAGGAGACAGCAAGCAAGCAAACTTCCACTGCCCTTTTATGTCTTCCACATTGCCTTCCTTTTCAGTGGTGCCATCCACACCCATGGTGGGCCTCCCCATTAGCCATACCCAGAACTATGCCAAACCAGCCAGTGGACTGATTTAGTACCACACGTCCTTAATTCCAGTATCACACACCATGCCAGCCTGGAAAAGCTCCACCTGTGACTGCATGATGCTTTGAAGGAACATCTAGACACAAGTCATAAACATTCTTCCCCTGATCCCCCAAAGACACATGTGTGTCCCTGTATGTAAAAGGGTCCATCTCAAACGGTTCCCAAACCTAAGAGTTCAGGATTGCTGAAAAGTTCAAGTTCAAAGTCTTGAAGATTTAAGGCAAACTGTTGGCTGTGAAGCTCTGTGCAAATGATAAGAAAGTTAAACACTTCCAACATTCAATGGTACAGGTAAATATTTACCTTCCAAAAAGCACAAATGGGGGCTAGCAACGAACAGATCCAAAGCGAGTCCAGAATCCAGCAGGACAGACATTAAGTCCTGTGGTTCCATATCCAGCATGTGAGGCAGTCTGTCAGGGTGTGAGCTCCATGCCACTCTGGTCAGGCTGAGCCCCAGGTTTCACCTGACTGGGTCCTCTAGGATGCTGCACAGGCTGGGGAGCCTCCTTCCCTGTCCTCAGGGACCCTGTTTCTTGCCTCCTCCCATCCCTGCTGCTCCCTAGGGTCCCTGGCTTCCTCTTCCTGCTGAGAAGCTGGGTCCTAGCACCTTTCCTCCCAAGCTGTTGCTTGTACCACTAGCTTGATGGTCCCCTGCACACAGGATCTGTCACTGCCTACAGCCTAGATCCATCTCTTGGGTTTCAGCACCAACTTCCTTCCTGTGTCCCCTGTATGCAGTACCCCAGCTCTGTCCCTTCTTCCCAGGAATAGAAACCCTGGTCTGGGGCCAGCCAGATAGCTCAGCAGACTAAAGCACCTGATTAGTCAGGCACAGAGACTGGGGTTCGAAGTCCCTGGTGTGCCATGCCTGCCCCACCCCCAGGGCATGCTGAGATGGCCACTGAGATTGGGCATGGTAACACACTCCTGTAATCCCAGCACTTCGCTGAAAACAGGAAGATTAGTATGAGTCTCATGTGTGTAGTGAGACCCTGTAAACCCTATACTAAGTACATAAAAAAATACAATAATAAAAAATTAAAAATAAACCCTGGCCTTCTGCCGGGACTGTCTGTCTGCACACTCCTGGAGTCCCTGGTCTTGATGCCACATACACTCCACACTGTTGGCTCTTGGCCCCATTCACAGCCTGTGCCCTGCTCTCCCCAGGACCCATGGGGGAGGGCTCCCTGTTATAAGTATTCCAATCTTTAAAAGGGGGAAGTTATGCTTCAATGAATATTTCTGTATAGGTTAACAGTAGTGCACAAGTAGACTGTATAAGCACATAGGAAATGTGCTAACAACATCTTAGTGATGGACGCCTGCTGCCTGGCGTCCTCCTGGGGCTCAGCCCTGCCAGTATGGCCCCCAGACTCCATGCTTTTATACACTTTGTATCCACTGTTAGTTGTGAGCAGTAACATATGAAAACACAATGCATAAGGAAGCTGCAAGTTTGTGGATTTCTTGTGTAAACAAGTCTGGAAGCGAGCAGCCTAGAGATGGCACAGGGAATCCAAGAGTGTCTCCCAAGACCCAGCTTCTTTGAGCACATTGCTGTAGCCTTTCAGCCTATGCTTTCCACTTCATGGTTCAAAATAGCAGCTTAAGCTCCAGCCATATCATCAGCCTTCCCTCAGCATGGTAGTAGGAGGACAAGGTGAAGAAAAAGATGCTCTTCCCTCCCTTTAAGTAGCATCCAGCTACTCTTCAGGGTGTGGTGGTGCACACTTGTAACCCCAGCGCTCTGTAGGCTGAGGTAAAGAATTGCCATGAGTTCGAGGTCAGCTTGGGCTACATGGTGAGTTCAAAGCTTGCCTGGACTGCATAATGAGACCCTGTCTCAAAAATAAGAGTCTGGTAATTAAGATAAAGAACCATGTTTATTTGTGATAAAGAGATCGATCTACCAGAGCACAATGTCACAACCCCAAATCTATCTGCACTACTTCAAACAGCTGCTGAATCCAAAGTTAACAGAAATACAGGGACACATGAACTCGCAGTCATGGAGTACTTTTCAATAATGTATGTTTCTCACTAACCAATAGAACAAGCAGAACAAAACCAGTGAGGACGCAGGAGAAGACAAAGTGCAGTGAACATGTGCAGCCTCCTTGATGCCTGCAGCTGTTTGCTTCTTTTTTCTTTTTTAATGCATTTTGTTGTTGCAGGGTCTCACCATGCAGCGTGGACTCATAGTGAGCCTCCTGCTTTCAGCCTCCCCAGAGCTGGACTTACAGGTGTGCATCACTACGCCTGGACTCTGTGGCCAGCTCAGCCTGCCCTGGGGTGGGGCTGGCATGGCGTGTTGTACGTGGAATTGAACCATGTTACTGTGCTTGCCTAAGCAGGTGCTTTAGTCCGCTGAGCTATCTCACCAATCCCCAACACATCCGCAGTTCCATCTCTGCAGGGACAGGGTTCTTATTCCTCCCCCATGCATGAAAAACACATGGCCAGCAATGACCTTGTAAGAAGTTGCTTGCCACCTGCCTGCCAGCAGTTATTGTGCTACGAGTACCACAACAGAGGCTGGAAAATGTCACCTGTTCCATGTTCCACGTGGCAGTCATTTTGCTATGCAGCACAGAGAGGTTCAGTAACTTGTCCAAGGTCGCACAGCCTCTGAGTGGCAAAGCCAGCTTTCAGGTCCAGGCTTCCAGTGCTGGGAACACTTCTCTGCCATCCCTGGCACCTGTGACTTCGGGGAACTGTGTTTGAATGCATGCCTCCACTCAGACCTGTGAACACCTTCCTTCCCTCTGCAAAAGACTACACAGAACCCAGATGTTTTCTCTGACCCTTTCTCTCCCACCCATGGCTGAAATTTTACCATCAGAAATGTGTTTCTTCTCATGGAGAGTCCTGTTCTCTTCCTAAAATTCTTTTTAGAAATGCAACTTCCAGGCTGGGTGTGGAAGACACATGCTCACGTAAGTTGTTCAGCCTGGGTAGCTCAGTGGCTTGGCCAGACTCTGTCTCAAAATATAATACAAATAAAGTAGGATAACTAGGGATATAGCTTAATTTGAAGGCCCTAAATTCAATCCCCAGTAACACACACACACACACACACACACACACACACACACACACACACACTTTTCCTTGTCTGGGCAAACTTCTGTGGTGGAGCACAGAGGACTCAGAAAAAATGTCAGAGAGGAGAGTAGGCCTTCAGCTCCTTCGGGTGACACTGGCTGTGGAGCCCAAGGGCCGACTGCAGAGTGACCAGCACAGCCCTCAAGTCTGGCATCTGCCTAACCCCATCTGCCACCATTTTTCACAAATTTCCTTTTTTCTTCCTCTTTCTTTTTCCTCCCTGCCTCTCTGACTAAGCTGAAGAAAAAATGGGTTTGTCTCCTTTAACAAAAAAGATGAAAAGCCTTAAATTACCTTCTCCAAGGTCTGCAAATAGAAACCTTAGAGCAGACAGCCAGCCACACTTGCTTTTCTCTCCTTCTGGTAGCTCTGAGCTTTGAAATCAAAGGCTGAGCAGAAACTCAGGAGGAAGTGAGTGGAGTCTGGCCAAGCTCCAGCCCAGGAGGAGGGCAGGCTGAGCAGCAGCTGGGGTGAAGGAGGTGGGCATGCACAGAGCCAGAGCTTCTACTGTGGTGCCTCAGTGCAAAGGGCTTCCCTGAGTGGGGCTGCCTCCCGGGGGCCAGCTGCTCCTGAGTGGGTGCAGGCTGGAGAAAAGGGATACATCCCTTCCAGAGCAGGTGGGATGGCAGCCATGGTGGCCTTCTCTACCTCTGTCACCACCATCGTGTCACAGTCCCCTTCCACCAGTCAGAAAAATGGAAAGAATGCCATACTGGAGAGACACTGGGCACCTAAGGACTGGAGTCTGGAGTTTGCGCCTCAGCTCCGTGGCATGGAGTAACAGCATGTAGCATTTGTGGAGTGCTTTTTTGGTTCCAAGGACTGTCTGTTAAAACCTCATGTAGATTACCCCTTAGCCTTCCAAACAGCCTTCTGACATAAGTGTCTTGTAGGTGAGGACCCTAAGGGATGGGAATTGAGGTACTTGCATTAACCCATGTCACAAATCAGTCCTATGAGTCTCACATCAGTTGTGTGACAGATCGGGGTTTGAGCCCCATCTTCAGACTTCAGAAACTCTTATACTTCCTGTCAAGCTGGCCAAACTGCTGGGCCCACCTGGAAAGTCAGAGGGCCAGGGCCGACAGGCAGAAGAACAGCACCTGAGGTCTGTGCCCTCACAGCCTCTCTGCCACGCTTCTGCCGTGTGTGTGTGTGTGTGTGTGTGCGTGCGTGCGCGTGCATGTGCACGCACGTGTATACATGTGCATGTGCACAGAGGGTACACATTACCAGGGCACAGCATGTGCTAAATGCAGAGAGTGTGTGTATGTGTGCATGTACCCACATGTGCTCCAAGTACACACATACATTGCAACAGAATGAGAACACAACAAGGCCTATGCAAGCTCTGCAGAAGGCCTGTGGGTCAGGTCCACATCGTGAGGACAAAGCTGGCATCCAAAGTGGCCCAATAGTCAACTGATCCCTCTTCTGTAAAGCTACCCAAAAGCCTATTGGGAACATAGCTCAAAGGCCTCTGGCATGGGAGGACGATGTGTCCCTGAGGCGTCCTGGCCAGCTCACATGTGTCCTTTGCAGGCCTGGCAACCATGGCCCATTGCAAGAGCGAGCAGGATGACTGGCTGGTCGTCTACCTGAAGTATTTGCTCTTTGTCTTCAACTTCTTCTTCTGGGTAAGTGAATTCTGCACACCCATCCCTTTCCCCAGAACAAGGAGTCGGTTGATTTCCTCCATATCCAAGGCCACCAATGGGCAAGTCCTGTGTGTCACAAGGCAGATTGTGCCTTTGTTTCTAAGTGAAAGCCAGAGGGTTTGGTCTGCTGGTTGGCATGGAGTCGGCTGCCTGGTCTGTGACCACTGTCATAACAGTATCCTTTTGGTGCCAATGTCCTGAACTAAAAAGGGCCAGCTCTTTCTTTCCTGGCACTGGTGATGCAGTGCCCTATGGGAATGTGACTGCCTGAAGCAACAGCTCAGTCCACGTTCCCCACTGCTTGTGGTAGGAACAGCATCTCTCTATGCTGACTCCCTCGGGAAGCCTCCCTGGTTGACCTTTTGCAGAACAGTGTGTCGTCTGTCCACTGAGTAATTGGGAACAGAGTATCATTAGCCCCCCGCAATAGCCATAGGGGGTGTTTTACATTGTAGTCTCATGCAGTTTGGGGGAGGGGGTAACAGCCTCTGCAGTCAGCTGGACCTGGACCTCTGCCATCTGTGATTAGTGCAACTTCAGGCACCTTACTCAGGTTCACTGTGTCTGTGTCCCCAGTTAATTAAGTGACCACTTCTAATCTCTGGTGTTACATTCAATAAATATAACATTCTGAATATATTAGACTTCAAATGCCTGAAATACCAGCACAGCAACCTATGCCTCTAAGACACTCTTCCAAGCCTTGCAGCAAGTTGCATGCCAAGGAGGGACACAGCTCCCTTCCCATGCACTTTCCTCCGAGCACTTGATGCAGGTCGGTGTGGGCTGAATGAATCCAGTCAAGCAGCAGTATGGGGGAGAAGACAGCCATTCGATGTTATGTATCAAAAAACAACAATCTCACATTTGTTTAAATGGGTTTCTCAAAGTTCCTAAGATGAGCGATGCACTGATCTGCCACTTTTGTCTTCCTGAGTGAGTGTCTCCTGGAGCAGGGACAGGGACACTGTCCCACGAAGGTGGTGAGTGATAAAGCCAGATGCTGCAGACTGCAAGCTGTGTGGGGTGAGGGGCTCTCCATTTTCAGAGATAATCCGGTGGGGCATTTAGAATTCTTACAGAGCAACATTTCTTTGTAAGAATGTTTTGCTCAATCATTTTCAGATGACTTATTGCACACTACAGATAATCTCCAAAAGACTGAAAATATGAGAAAGTAAAAATTGCCCCTGTTGTATCATGTTGGCTTCCCAGGCTGCCCACAGTAGGGTGGCCTCAGGTGGCAGCAGTGTCTGCCCTCAGAGTTCTGAAGATGAGAGGTCCAAATCAGGCACCCTAGGCTCACACTTCCCCTGACGCTTGGGCAGACCCTTCTCTTGCCTCCAGCACTTCGGGTAGGGCTGGCGTCTCTTGGCAGCCCCTGGCACACCGTGTCAGCAGCACACAGGTCTCCAGCCCACCTTGTATTCCAGACCTCATCTCTGTCTCTATGCACCATTTTCTTTTTCTTTTTTTCTTTTTCTTTTTGCTTTTTTTTTTTTGATATTTTTATTGAAAAACAAATAGCAATGAGTTGTCACTGTCATGTTTCCTAGCTCTTCTCCTTTCCCTCTCTTAATTAGTTAGTCCCCGAGATCCTGCTTTTGTTTTACTTGTATTATACCTTTCTATTTGTATTTCTTCTTTTGAGTTCGTATACTAAGGAAACTATACAATATTTACACATGTGTGTCTGGTTTATTTCACTTATGAGTATATCTTCAAGTGGCATCCACTTCAATATAAAGGCTTCGAGTTTATCATTCTTTATAGCTGAGTAATACTCCATTATGTAAAAATACCACATCTTTTTCAACCATTCCTCAGGTGATGGGCATCTTGGTTGTTTCCAAGATTTGGCTATCACAAATTGTGCTGCTATAAACATAGGCACACATATATCCCTATGATATGATGTTTTCAGATCTTCCGGGAATATTCCCAGTAGAGGAATAGCTTGTTTAAATGGGATTTCCAGCCCAACTTTTCTAAGGAGTCTCCACATTGATTTCCATAATGGTTGCACCAGTCTACATTCCCACCAGCAGTGGAGAAGGGTTCCTTTTTCCCCATAGCCTCTCCAACATTTGTTGTTGGGGTTTTCTTTATGATAGCCATTCTTTCTGGGGTGAGATGGTATCTCAATGTTGTTTTAATTTGCCAGTGAAGCGGAAGACCCAATACTATTATGGACTACTGGACTCTTTTAGAATATTTTGCTGAGTTAACACACCTATAATATTCAAATAACGGAACTTAACGAAAAAAGGGGATACAGATGAATGTCCATTTTGTATCTGTGTATTTAAAATGGTTAGGATAGATATATAGTTACATTCTCTTAATGAGTAGAGGGATTTGTTCTAATAGTGTTTGTAAATAGAATATCTTGTCCGCATCTTGTACAGCAATTAACCACTAGGAAGAATGTATGCAATGTGTTAATTATTGAAACTGTCCTACCAATTTGGTTTGAAACTGTCTCATTGCTATTTGTTTCTCAGTAAAATTATAGAAAAAAATACAAATAGCAATGAGATAGTTTCACAACCAATTACTAGTACATTTTCAATAACTAATACATTGCATATTGTTGTCTTAGTGGTTATTCCTTGTACAAGATGCAGACCTGATATCCTGTCTCAAACACTATTAGAACAAACCTCTCTATCATTGAATTAGGATAGATATACTAACTATTTTGAGTATACAGATACAAAATGGTTGTTCATTTGTATCCCCATTTTTTGGTTGGTTTTGTCAGAGAAGGGCATTCCATTGTCATTTAAATACTGTAGGTGCATGAATTCAGTAAAATATCCCATATAGTCTAATAATCCATAATAGTACTGGGTTTTCCATAAGACTGTCAATGTCCAAAGTTGTTGACTTGAGCATTTTACAGCTCATCATATTAATATAACTTTACTTTTTATACTTCATTTTCATACTTTTCTGCTGGCTAGTTAAGACCAAGAAAGAGCAAGACCTATATAACAAGAAATGTAACTTTTGTACCTGTCAAGGTCAGTCAGATCCCCTCAGGATTTAACCTGAAACCTTGTACCTCAGTTCATAGATCCTTTGTCAGTGTCAGCCATGTGGATGAGTCACAGCCATTGCTTGACCAATATGCTCTCTGTGAAAGCCTGAGAGAATGTTTTCTCTCCATGTGACTCTCCTTAGGCACACTCTGCATCATTGATCACTTTCCTCTGTGGCCACAAAATCTCCTTGATCAGAAAATTTGGGACACAATTGAGTTACAGGATGTTACAGTACAGGTTATCCTATTTCCTGAGTCCTTACTGACCTTGAAAGGCTAGGGCCAAAATGTTGACTGTCCTCTTCTTTTCCTCTAATTTTTGGTCTGCAAAGTTAGGTTGTTAACCCTCCAGAAGAGAAGCTTAATGATATTATTACCCTATAACATAGGTAGTTGAGCTTAACCTCACTATCTGTCTGAATATCAAACATCTTAGACATAACATGGAACAAGTATTTTCCATCAAGTATTGATATGTTAAACTTCGAGTCCCTCCAGAATATGAAGAAAAATATTAAAAGGATAAAAAATATTTTAAAAATAACAATAAGCATTTATATATTTTTTACACAGAAATTTAGAAATCTAACAATATACAGCCTTGTAGCAGGACAATCCTATGACTTTGTCTCATATGTTTTCATTCATTACCCTTTTTTTTAAACAAACCTTTACTTGAGAGATAGTATGGCCATAACTGGTATGTCATAACAAGCAGTACTTACTTAGAAGACCAGAATGACAGGCATTCCAAGCATGACCCTTCTATTACACATTGCTTTCTTCAGTACAGTTGCTTCATTCACAGGTATCAGCATATATAGTCGAGAGTGAGAAAGCTACCAATTAACTGCTATTTTCAAAAACATGCTGAAGATTCTCAGGACGATTGCCTTTCCCATCTTGTGCATATAAATGTATAACTTTGACCCTGTCATGTTTTCTAGCTTTTCTCCTTGCCCTCTCTTCATTAACTAATCAAGTTCTCACTTTCCTTTTAATTATGTTGTGCCTTTCTATTTTTATTTCTTCCTTTCAGTTCTTATACTAGGGAGACTATATGATATTTACACATGTGGGTCTGGTTTATTTCACTTATGAGTATTTCTTCAAGTGGCATCCACTTATATATAAAGGTTTTGAGTTTATCATTTTTTATAGCTAAGTAGTACTCCATTGTATAAAAATACCACATCTTTTTCAACCTTTCCTTAGGTGTTGGGCATCTTGGTTGTTTCCAAGATTTGGCTATCACAAATTGTGCTGCTATAAACATAGGTACACATATATCACTATGATATGATGTTTTCAGATCCTCTGGGAAAATTCCCAGTAGAGGGATAGCTGGTTTGAATGGGATTTCCAGTCCTAGTTTTTTAAGGAGTCTCCACACTGATTTCCATAATGGTTGCACCAGTCTGCATTCCCACCAGCAGTGGAGAAGGGTTCCTTTTTCCCCACAGCCTCTCCAACATTTGTTGTTGGGCGATTTCTTTATGATAGCCATTCTTTGTGGGGTGAGATGGTATCTCAGTGTTGTTCTAATTTGCATTTCACGGATGGCTAGTGATGTGGAGCATTTTTTTCATATATTTATTCACTTCTTTAATTTCATCTTCTGAGAAGTGTGTGTTCATCTCGGATGCCCATTTCTGGACTGGGTCTTTAAATGTTGGGGCCCTAATGTTTTTTAATTCTTTATAAATTTTAGAGAGAATTCTAGACCTTTGTCTCAGTCCTTACTTGTCAAGATTTTTTCCAAATTTGTGGGTTGTCTTTTCAGTTTGTTGGTAATTTCTTTTGATGTGCAAAAACTTCTCAATAAGAGGAGGTCCCAGTTGTCATGCAATGTGATTTTTGTTCATGAACTCTTTGCCTACCCCTATGTCTTCCAAAGTTCTTCCTACTTTCTCTTCCAGGAGCTTTAGTGTTT